TTGGGTTACATGGATTTGGGATACGAGGACAAGACATGCAGACGTGCAGCAGCAAACTGCAAGAGGCAGGCCACTGCCACTGCCACTGCACTGCACTGCAGCACTGCACGCAGCAGCAGGAGATATCGCTCATTGCCGAAACCCACGTCGTCTTTGTTTCGTCCTAGATCGGAGTGTTGTTGGACTCGCATCGCAGGCATGGGACAAACGCAATCAGAGACAGACGCTTGCTCTGCCTGCCGAGGCCTCTGGATGGCACGCGAGTTGCGCACAGCACTGGCGGTAAGGTGTCCGTCAACCGAGACAGGAGGTTCGGCCTGGTACGTGTCGAGACTGGACGGGCCCTATTGACCGAGAAACGCATTCAACAATCGACGAGCAGCCGCCGCCGCCGCCGCCGCACCTGTGTTGAGACGGTGAGGGCGGTTTGCGATGGAGGAGACGGCCGTCGTCGGATTGTACTGGTGAGAAACGAGGAAACGACGGACCACAAGAAAGCTGACCCCGACGCGACGCGGTTGTCGAGGGATGACGGCCAGCCAACTTATTGATCCCATGATCGACCATTGTCCATTGTTCGCGTTTCCATGGGGTAAGTGCGAGTGGGAGGAGTGAAGCTCAACGCTAGCAGATCCGCCATCGTCGACTGCCAAGGCCGGCCGCTGGTCTGCTTCTTAGTCGGCGATATCATGGCTGTTCTGAGACAGCCGGCGAAGCCCTAACCCGCCTGATGGCTGAGGACCACCATAAAAACAACAACCGTGCCTTGAGGCTCCCTATCCAGCCTTTTCCTGGGGTTAGTTCTTTCTTTGCCGCACCTCAGGCAGTAAACGTGAACAAGGGACGGAGGCGTTGGGAACGTGGCATGCCCCCTCCACCGCCTCCGGCATGACGAAACCAACCACATTCAAGAGACCGGAGGTCAGACTACTACGCCGTACAGATGCTGGACTGCGGACACTATGGCCAATGGAGACGGCCCATCGGACTTGTCAAGGAGCTTGTCTGCACCAGTTGCTTCCTGTAGGTCCTTCACGGGGCGCTGACACTTTGTCGTGTGAGTGCACTGCAGTAGACTGATGCCCGCCGTGGATCATCCCCACCAACCCAAGGGTGCTACTCACCATACCTAACACACTCAAAAAGCTCACCACACCTTTTGACTGATTCACCCTATCCAAGGGAACGTTTGCTTTTTCCCTGATTATGCAGCAGCAGAGGCGCCCAAGCCATGTTGCCTCTTCCTACGGGCTGGAGGGAGGGCCGCCAAGGGTCGAGTGCCGCAGCGCCACCGATGTGTGAGATCAGAAAAAGCTGGGACGACAGCCAGCACCAGGGAGAAGGACAGCAACAAACGATGGTCGTCCAAAAAAGCCCATGCAACCGCCTCCAACCGGCTTCCTCAATTCCTCCTCCTCCGCATGTGTGTCGGTGAAGCGGCGGAGAGTGTGTCCCAAAGCGGTATCCGACCACTGGCCCAGTGCAACTCGACCGACCAACGGGGCGTCCTAGGAACCCCTTGAAGTCTGGAGACTATTCCGAGTTGGTTCGTTGATCGGTTCATCTGCTAAGATAGTCTGAAGCCCTTGGCTGGTTATGCTTCCTGGCCTTAATTTTTCTCGCTTCGCCCACCCCGTCCTACCCTCTTTCTCCCCATTGCAGGTCACGATCTTGATCGGTTCGGGAATGGTCGCCCTGGTTTTGCTGCCATCGGCCATCCGTTCTGCCCCCAGCGGGGAAGCAGCCTTCATGCACCTTACTCGCCCAGCATGCTACTACGACGCTGCTAATTAATTAAATCACATCTTGCTAGCACCAAAAACCCCACAGTTGCCAGTCACAAGCGCCATCACTATCGATTGGCCCGAGGGGCAAGAAAATCCAGAGAGAGGCATCGTGCCAGCGAGAGGCAGAGAAGCAGAGGAGGAGCCAGATGGCGCCCCGAGTCTGGTCCGTCGTCCGTCGCCCGTCCCAAGGTTCCCCATACCTCTTCATCCATGTACTTTGAAAAGTACCTACCCTTCTTCCCCTACTGCGTTACTGCGTATGGCGGCGCAATTCCCAACCCCCACCCGCTTGAAGACATGAAATGGACGGGAAATAAAGCCTCCAAGCAAGTAAGTCAGTAGTAGTAGTAGTAGTAGTAGTAGTGCTGAGCTCCTCCAACCCAACCCCATGCAAGCATTAAGCCATAATGAGCCAGCCATCTCTCTCTCTCTCGCTCACTCACTCACTCACTCTCGACGAACGAGAGGAAGAGAGAGACCTGACCAGACCTGACCAAGCGAGCTTGTCTAAAAATGCAACCTATGGAACGCTCGTCCTTCAAGACATCCGTGACCCCCTCCTCCCCCCCTTGTGGCTCTTAATTCTTCATCTTTTCCCACCACAAAAACAACACTTTATTTTTGTCTCCTCTGTCTCTGGTTCTCTTGGGTCTTGTCTCTGTACTATTCCTGGTGCGGTTGTGTTCTCGACCACTAGCACACGGAGCATTCTCAGTCAACTGTCTCTCCTCCTGCCCTCTTCATCCTTGCACGCTGCAAAGAGAGAGAGGAAGAGAGAGCGTCCGTTCTCGCCTCGACCAAACATACATACACACACACACCAACAACACAACAATAACTTTACATATAAGCAAAACACATTCTTCTCTTGTCCTCTTCCTGCACCTTCTTGCACACACAGTCATCATACCTACGCTTTATCTCCGCTCTCCCGTCCCAAAACACACACATCAGCATCCGAGTAGAAGGAACCGGGAGGGACTAAGCGCGGACACAGCAGTTTGAAAGTGTGTGTGTGTTCGCCCGTGAGGTACATATTGTCTGGGACCCTGCCGGACCGAAAGAGAGGACGAAGCAGCAAGAAGACGCAACCACGCATACGCAAACTCACCTCTCACCTCCTTGGCTTGCGTCCCATCCATCCATCCACCCATCCATCCCCCTCTCAGTCCGCACGCAGGACACACGACGCAAGCCCAGCTCGCTCCGCTACGGTGCCTTGCACCAGACGAACAGCCGACAGGATTTCACAAGGACCCCTGTGCGCCCGCCGTGCCGCGCCGCGGGAGAGTGACAGAAGAGCAGGACAAGGGGAAACGCTTTCGACCCCACTTCCGTTCGGCCTGGGCCTGGGACGATCGAGCCAGAGGAACACACACTCGGGTCGCTTGTGACCTGCTTCGAACCGTGGTTCTGCGCCGGGTCGTATGACATATACATAGCCCACACAGGACCCAAGACTGGCGGTTGCGTCGTTCTCACTTCCAGGGCAGTTTGTCGCATTTCCAGGGCAGCAAGCAGCGTAACCAAAAGTCAGCAATCACCTTTTTTCGTTCGCATTTCGCCGTCCACCTCTCCGTTTCGTACATCAAGGGTGGTGGGTTCTCCGGATGTGACATATCAACGAAACCCTGTTGTACAAACCACCAAGATCTCGCTACTTATTTTCTCCTTGTCGTCAACCCACCGTCCTCGATCAACCGATTGACCCGGCGAAACTTCGTACGAACACACGACAAATAGCATCGCCTTACATTGTGTATACAATTTTTCAGGGCTTTCACATATTCCCACCAAGGGTCGCCAAAAACTCTGGAACACTTTCACCTCTAGACAGCCTCACTTGGAGAAATCCCCAGTGGGGTACTTGCACGTCATCGACATGTTATACAACATGAGTTACCCTCACGACCACGCGGGGGCACCTCCGGCGGCGGTAGCGGGGCAGCAACCCATCAAGCCCACAATGGCACCCGTGGGTGCCGCCGCCATCCGGCCGCCGAAACAGCGGTGCTCCCAGCCGATGCCCTTCGACCCGGAGGAGCTCTCACAGAAACTCAACAAAGTCATTGCTGATCGCCAGGCTTATTCCGAGAGAAGGAGGAGAGCCAGGGCCGAGGGAGCGGCCGGCGGCAACGCAGCGCCGATGAACCTATCCTCAGCTACTCAACCACCACCGCACGCTAGCGTGGCCAGGGAAATATTCGAACAAGGCACTCTCAAGCCCGGAGAACGTCGAACCGTGATCAACCCCGTCAGGCCACGCACCGAGCCAGCAGCGAAGAAACCCACGGCACCCAAGGAGAGACCCGAAACCAGCGCGGCGCGGCCAAAGTCCAAGATGTCCGACGACAGCCGGAGCTCGAGCTCCAAGTCAAAGGACTCCTCCAAGAGCAAGCACCACTACATCCCGCAGTTCGCCGCCTCGCAATTTGCAAGGACGACCACGTCAGACAGCATGCCGGAGGGCAAGGGGCTCGTCCACAAGCTGTCCCGCACCGCTCTGAGGATCGCGCAGGCTCACCGGGAGCGGCATCAGCAGGAGCGCAAGAACTTCTACTCGGACCGCATCCCGGAGGATGAGACGCAGCCGATTGAACGTCCGCATCGCGACAGGAAGCGCCACAGGCACACCATCGAAGGTGCACCCGCCGGACATCATGCGGAAGACCGTCGCGCCCGCGCTGCGAGGCGCGCGAGCACAGGGGCTGCAGACCTGCTGATGTCGTGGGAATCCGGCACCTCGTCACCGAACCCGGACGGCGACAGCCCCGAAGTGGCCGATCAGGATCCCTATGACCGCCGTGCCGACTGGACGCAAAGGGACGAAGCTCCTCCCCACCAGCCAGAGCAGCAGGCACAACGGCAAAAGTCCAGGCCCTCCTTGCGCAGCGCAGATTCCATCTGGGCGCTGAGGAATAAGTTGAGCGCGTTGACCAAGCACAAGCAGGACGATCAGCAGCAGAGATCCAGGGATGGCAGCCCGCCGTCTGACACCACGCTCAGGTCACCCAAGAGTGGATTCTTTGCTAGATTCAAGGTCAACCATTGATCCCCGCGGCAATACAGAGGGGGGTCGGCTTACCGTTGTCCAACAATATTACTACTATACGAATACTTCTACACGTACACGGTGGTTCACAGCACACCTTTCGAATGTGTACGCCTAATCCAAACCATGGCGTCAAGCCCATTTGTCTCCCGCCGGGCTATTTACCTACCCTCCTCCAAGAGCTTCCTAATGAGATCCGTATCCTTCTCCGCTGCACTCTTCCGGATCGCCTCCTCAGCAGCGGCGTCCTCGCCCTTGAGGATTAGATGGTTGATGAGCTCAATGTACTCCCGCACTCCCTCGCCGTCCTCCCCCGCCGCGGTCCTCGCCTTCCGCAATGCCTCCTTGCCGTTGCGGATACCCACATCATGCGACCACTGTTCCTTCTTGGGATTCGCGGCCGCCAAGGCCCTCGCCTTCATCGTGTCATTTAAGCTGTTTCCGGTTCCCTGCAACTCCAGCGGCGGTTCTGTGGCGGCGAGGATACCCAGCAGGCGCGATTTTAGACTCGGGTAGCGCTTGAAAAGGTAGCGCAGCTGGGGCGAGTCGTCGAGGACGCTGAAGGGGTTCTTTGGATCGAAGGCTTTTTTTGCCCCTGGCTGCTTAGGGGCCTCGACGGGCGGTTTGGGAACGGGTTCGGGATCTGGCGGGTGGTTCTCGCGGTGGATCTTACTACATTGCACCGAGCAACTATTTTCATACCCATTAATGTTAGTAAATAATGCACACGACAACAGAGAATGTATAATGAAGACAAAATGTCCCCACGGTGAGACGTACAATGGCAAAGGACAACGTGTGCACTTGTATTTGCCTTCCTTCTCGTCGCAAATGCCACACATCTTAGTCTTGGACGCCGCCTTTGGCTCGGGTACTGCTTCGGGTTCTTGGGTTTGCGGTGCTGTTGTTGGCGCAGGCTCTTTGGCAAGATTTTGTGACACCTCTTGTTTTCTGCCCTCGTCAACGGCCTCGCCTGTCGCGTCCTTGCTCGTCGTTCCGTTGGCAGCCGGCGCATCTTTCTCCCCGCTCTTCGCCGCGGCCCCCTCCGTCTCTTGTTGGTTCTCGTGGGGGCTCACAGTCCTCGACCTCTTGTTCGCATGCTCAATCAGCTCCTCCAGCACATCTTGCGAGCGCTTGGGGGACCGAGGGACGACCGGCTGCGGCGGAGGGCCGTCGTTATCGGCGGACATTGTTTCACTTCTCTCTCGGATCGATTCGCGCGCCGCCACAAAGTGTTTCGCCCGTTTCCTCCCGAAGTACTTTCTCCGCTCCGTGAGCAGTCTCTAGGCAGCTCTCCGAGTAGCTATGTCTGCAAGAGCCGCAATTGAAGTCTTCGCTGGGTGGCTCCGTTTCTCGCAAAGATCCGGGCGTTGGATCTTTCTCGCCTCGGTGCTTGAGAAGCGTCCTGTTCGGTAGAGAATGGTTCGACCTCGTCTGGGTCGCTAATATGAACAAGGTGCTGGCTTTGGTCAAGAATGTCGAGTAGGATATGTCAGAGATAGTGGAAGCAAAGAAAAAAGCAGACGGGTAAACCTTTTTGGTCGCAAACGGAGGTTCAGCCGTTGTGGTTCACCCCGCGATTTCCTTTTTGTTCGGGAACGTTGCTTGCTGTTGTTTCCCTCACATCGTTTTATTTTTTCTGCCGCTCAACGGGCTCGCAGACCCAAGCGCCGGAGCTCTCGAGAAAATTCTAGTGGGGCCTGAGCTTTTGGGCGGTCAGTCCTAGGTAACCTCAGTGCAGAGGTCCGCACCACCCGCAGTCCACTGGGCAGCTGGGCCTGACCGCCAAAAGCCCGAGTCGAATGTCTGCCCGCCATGTACAGAGTACTCTGGGGACCCGGGGTGACTTTGGCTCTTCCCCACCAGATGTATGCACCTCGAACACTGTGAGAAGTGCATTCGTGCCAGTATCGAATTATTCTGGAGCTCGTCCGAGTGTCCATTTGCGTGCCTCAGTCCCACTGTGTTCGGGCGAGTCGGGAATTCTACGGACGAAGGCAAGCGAATATTAGTGAGGGAAAAAGGCTTTGCGTCATCCTGACAAGGCCCGCAGCCGCAAGACCCATGATTGGTAATACAAGGCCTCGGAATTGAGCGGCGAAGGGGAAAAAAGAGGATCCCTCTGTCAAAACTGTGCTCGAAAAGCCGATTTAGCTCCATCTGGCGGTTGCGCCCTGCGTTGAGTAATGCCGAGGAGCAGAGCGTTCGAACCCTGGGGTAAATTTGTACATGGCGACCGCAGTCATCATTTTGATGTAATCTTCCACCTTGCAAACCAACTTACGAGCCAAATCTGAATAATAACGACGCCGCCGCCGCCAAGTACGCACTTGACGACGACGAACATAATTATACACACGTTCACACACACGCACACACACACAATGTCATCCTTCAGGACGTCGAGGACAGCGCTCCGCGCCATTGCGCGCTCCACGAGGCAAATCAGATCCGCCCCCGCCGCGCAGCAATCGAGACATTTCGCGAGCCATCACCCCTCCAGCCTGCCCGCGGCCGTATCCTCCGGCCTTCTGCAGCAGAGTCGACTGCCTCGCAGTCGGACGCACCAGCAGCCCCAACAAAGACAATCGCCCTTCGCCGGGCGTCAGGGCGCCGTTCGCACAATCTTCATACAGACGGAGTCGACCCCGAACCCGAACGCCATCAAATTCCTCCCGAACCACCGCATCCTCCCCGAGACGATCTCGAGCCCCTTCATCGAGTACATGAACCCGCGCTCGACCATCGCCCCGCCGTACCCCTCCCCGCTGGCCGCCCAGCTGATGAATATTGACGGCGTCACCTCCGTCTTCTACGGCGCCGACTTCATCACGGTGACCAAGGCCGCCGATGCCAATTGGGCACACATCCGTCCCGAGATCTTCGCGCTCATCACCGAGGCCATCACTTCTGGCCAGACGATCGTCAACGTCGCGGAAAAGAAGGACGGCGCCGCGGCGCCCGAGGCCGAGGAGGAGGACAGTCTCGCGTACGACGAGAACGACAGCGAGGTGGTCGGTATGATCAAGGAGTTGCTCGAGACGAGGATACGACCCGCGATTCAGGAGGACGGTGGCGACATTGACTTCCGTGGCTTCACGGACGAGGGCGTCGTTCTGCTGAAGCTTCGCGGTGCCTGCCGCACGTGCGACTCCAGTACCGCAACCCTGAAGAACGGCATCGAGAGTATGCTGATGCACTACGTGAGTATTCGAAAATCTTGTGCCTGTCTGGCTCTGTGTGCTAATCCTTATTGCCAGATTGAGGAAGTCAAGGGTGTCGAGCAGATCATGGACGAGGAAGAAGAGGTTGCCCTCAAGGAGTTTGCCAAGTTCGAAGAGAAGCTCAAGGCGCAAAAGGGCGTCGAGGCCATCGCCTGAGAGCTGGGAATAGAGTCTTTGCGCGATTATGACTTTGGGAAGAGACGGGGGGGAAAAAGGAGTTTGGGGGCGCGGTATGGATCCTGTAGGAAATGCTGTATCATTACATCCTCGGGACTCACCAGGCCAAAAACAAGGCCGGTGACCGAGGCAATACCCATCACATCGCTGTTCATCACAGCCTCGTCTACGTCGCCCGTACAGCCTCGCCATCGCCAGTGGCATGCTTCACGCATGCCGTCACCGCTTCGGCTGGTTGCCAGCGTCCGTCTGACCAGGCTCGCGATGGCTCGTGTTCGGCTGCAAATTGAGCGAGCCTCGCCAATTCGCCAACTATGCAACTTTGGCTTTCCATCAGATAGACTCGTGTCCCAGGGCGAGACCGGTCCAAGTGCATGCCAGCCTATGCGCGGGGTGCACGAGACCCCCTCGTGCCGGCGCTGGCCAGATGAAGAGCCAGACAACGTCCGTAGACGAGGCGGGAAAAGATCGTCGTAATTCCTACAGACATGAGCGTTCGAGACCGTCTTCGTCTTCACAACCGTCAGGGTTGGCGGAGGGTTTTTTGTTCTTCAACGTTGATTGGGCTCTCTTGTCCAGCCAAGGGTTGCTGCAGCGGATCAGGGCGGGGAGCCGGGGTAGCTGGTCGCCGTGCAGGAACCCCTCAAGTGAGAGTGAACCCCTCAATCCGCTCGGGCGAAGAGGGTGGGCGGGCATCCATCTCCACGCTTTTCGCCGTGGTGTAGAGTCGCAACCGCCGACCGGAGTGCACTCCTTGCCCTCCCTCGCCTACGTCGTCGTAAGGCCACCCAGCGAGCAAAGCAGGCCAACGATCCGTTCCACGACACGGCCACGTCCGGCTTGTTTCCCGGCCCTCTTGTCCTCGCATATGTGGACGAGGGGAAAACCAATCCACTTGGGGGTAACTTGCTTTCCCCCCTCGGTCAAGTTTAGCTTCCTTGACTTCCGCTGATCTTGTGCCGCATCTCCTCATCATCATGCCAGCCATTCCGGGTACATGCCTGTCCCGTCTCCGCACCGAATACAACTGGATGCTTTCTGACAAGCAACGGTCACGTCCTGAGCAAGCTTTATTCCAAAGACCACAATGTGAACAGAGGCCGTCCGAGCAAAGGCTTGCAGGGCACAGAGGATGAGGGGCAGCCGGCGCAGCAGAAAGATGTGGTGTTGCTGGCGAACTGACCCTGGGCGCCTTAGGATGTTAGATGCGCTAGCGCGCGTTGAGAGGGTCGCTTTGTAACTTATCAAAGTATCGCTTGCCGTAAGTGAGCCTTGGGTTGAACTGATCTTCTCACGTCCAGCGAGAGTGAGCATGGATGCTGTTGGTCAATGGCTGGCGCCGCTTGAGTATTTCCTGTGGTTTTCTCGCCCATCCACCCGTTAGAGCAGCCAGAGCCAAGGTTGAGTTTAATGACGAGATGAGAATCCGGGGTAAAGCCCCTGGCTGACATTTGACTTTCGCCCTCCATCGGCTCGGGGGTATGTCGATCTGGGCTGCGGTGCGGTATGTCGCGTTTCGGTTCCTTACATCACATCCATTCGACGGTGAGCCGGTCTCAGGGACGATGCCATTATTGATTGTTGATGAAGCCATTAAGATGCAGCGGTGAATCCGACCTCCCAACTCATCTCTCGTGAGCTTAGTATTGCCCTTGGTTGTTCAGATCAGAAGCGGCAGCATTTCCCGCTCCAGTTCCGGGTAGGAAAAGTCCAACCTAGATAGGCTAGCCAGCCTACACATACAGATACATCAGCGCATCGGTATGCAGGAATCCAGGGTTGCATGTATCTCTTCAGCGCACGTTCGCCAAACACGTCGGCTGTCGGCAGGGCGCTCGCACGCGGACCTCGACGATATACCTTCATTCGACATATCGTCGCTCCAAAAAGTGTTATATGCCACAAGTCTGGATGATGCCACAGTGAGGTCAGTGAAGAAGGAAACCCCATTGAGGAGGGCTTCTGCAGAATGAAGGAGGTTAGGTGGAGAACGGCGCGCGTGACAAGCTGCAGCAGCCCGTCTGCTCCACGGATCCTTACCCCTCTTGGTCTCGGAAGGTGCCCTGTACCCAGACCCTCAACACCAAACCTTGTGCCAGCGTCTGCACATGCACGTTCGCCTGTAGTGGCTGGTCCTTTCGACGTCACGGATGCCTCTACCCAGTTCCTTTGCTTTTCTTCAGCAAGGCGGTTGCCGAAGTAGCTGGGGCATGTGGCGATGGCTGCAAATGCTGTTATTTCTGGATTTCAATTGACCTTTCAATTAATCTTGCGGCTTGTAAGAAAAAGAAGCAGTTGATTAGCAAGGTCGCCATAAGCTATGGAATGAACCATTGCAGAGGGACAGACGTCCTCGTGTGTTGGGGCTGGAACACACGGACATTCGAGGAACATGGATTCGATGCGGGGTGTTGGATGAAAGCCGGTGACCAGCTGCAGATTCCCGAACACAGTCGCAACCCCCCAACGGCAGAAACAATACACTTGCAAGGAGAGGCCCTGCAAGACTGGACCAGAGCTCCTCTGTTTTCGCTGGTAGGGCACGATGGCGGCGTGTGCGTCATGTAGCGTTCAAGAAACAAACGTGTTTGGATCGAGACGGCGTCTCACGTACGTCCGCGGCCAGAGCGATGTGATGTGAGCGGGGGGAGAGACCCTACAACGGCGGGTCTGCATGACTGCACATAGGACGGAACATGGAAACGAGGAACGGGTCGAGTGAAAGTCGCGAATTGCGACGATGATACCTTGTCGATTGTTTGCGCAATGCCACCGCTGACCGAGGTGGA